CCCCCCCAAGCCATTTCATTCATGCATTCTTCTGAGGACTGATATATATTAAGCCGAGATGCCTAACATTCACCTGAAGGATAAGTAGGCAAGTCCAAGAAAGTATAGTTGCTGGTTGTTTGAAAGCCAACCAGTTGATGGCAGTTTGGTCAAATTGCCTTCCTGTGATTCCAGTAATGTAGTGTTGTTTTCCTTTCTAGTGATGAATTCGATGATTGAAACCCTAATGTTTCTTCAAAAAGAGTATGCCAACCTGAGATATGCCTTCATGACAGTCCACAATGGTAAGAAACCTGAAGAAAAAAACACCCTGGCTTTCCCTCCAAATGATGTGTTGACCAAATCACTTGGCCAAATTCAGTTGTGTTCCATTCCATTTGAATACTGGCTGCCTGTCTCTTACCAGAGCCTCTATAGAGGCAGGGGTCAAAATAGAGAGTGGGACCATGCAATCTTTTCCAGGCCTGTCACACATGCTACCCTGTCTTGTGGACTTCTTGTGGATTGCTGGGTTGCTGTCTAATTGAGTGAAAACAGCAGAAACAACCTATGCATCTTTTCTTAGCCCAGTTTCCAGATTTGTACCTCTGTCTGCAGCTTCCAAACCCATAGAGAATGGCCCCGAAACTGGAAGGGTCTCTTGATCTCCTGAACGGAGCCATTTCTACAACAACAACTCAGTCTAATCAGTTAAACCCAAAATCAAAGTTTCATTTTTTTCCCCCACCTCAAGCACAGAGTCCAGAAGCGATCTCCCCGTAGAAACAAAAGTACTTATATTCTTTTCTTTAATCAAAACAGTCAATTTAGCCATCTCTGCCAACTCCGTCAATTTCTGTAGCCATTCGTCCATATGTGAGAAATGAAACATCCTTCCATTTTTGTGCATTCAATAGTTTTACTGCCATCAACATATACAAGATCAAAGTTCCAATTTTTTTTGCCAAGTCTTTTTTCCATTAAGCCCAGAAGAAAAGTTTCTGATTTCATCTTTATCTTTACTTTAAGGATGTTCTGTATTAAAATATGAATCCTTCTCTGATATTTCTAGGAAAAAAAAACTAGAATAAAGACATATTTCAGATCAGAGGTGGGCCAACTTGGAAGTCCGGAACGGTTCAGTGCTTTTCTCCCAAATAAAAAAAGGACCAGATTTTTCTTTACATTAAAAAAAACAACAACCACCAGAAATGATTCATGCTGTTCGGCCCATTGGCAAATCCCTGATTTTTCTCTCTTTGCCGCTCTCTGTGGCACTTCCTTTCGGAACTAAGCGCCAAAAATTACACTTGCTTTGTCTTCTTGTAAACTCTGTTTAAAGGGAGAGGGAAAACAAAAAAATAAACAAAAAAATGACGTGAGTTGTGGAGCGGTTTTTTGCCGTCAATCATTTGCTTCTTCCTTGTGTTTCTAGCCCGATCCTTTGGGAGTGGCAGTGAAAGATTGTACGTGAGCAACAAGGAAATCAAAACGTTTGAAGGTCTCGGAGACATTTGTGAGGAAGCCGGGGGCCATATCCCTTCCCCTCAACTCGAAAATCAGAACAAGGCCTTCACAAATGTTCTGGAGAGGCACAACAAAGCAGCCTACCTTGTCGTGGGTGACTCAGCAAACTTCACCAACTGGGCTGAGGGACAACCGAATAAGGCTGAGGGAAACTGTGTGAAAGCAGATACACACGGATCCTGGCACTCTGCGTCCTGTGATGAAAACCTCTTAGTAGTGTGTGAGTTTTATTTCATTTTATGAGAAGGAAGACCTGCATGCTCTGCTGAAGAGAGGAGCTACCTAAGACATAACAAGCCGAAAGCAACCCAACCAAATCAGGAGACGTCAAAATGTAGAGCACCTACACCTGATCCCGCTTGCCTTTAGAATATTCCAGAAAGTTCAATAAAAGCATGAAGCAAATATCACTTCTCTGCTTTGATTGTTTTTGTCCGTCTGTCCATCCATCCATCCATCCGTTTATTTAAAAATGAATAAATTAGAAACACAGGCATCCTTTAAGGTAGGCCTCGCTTGACCGCCGTTCTAGTTTTGCAACTGTTTGAAGTTATGGCGGCACTAAAAAAAAAATAGCTGCACAAGGAGAGGGAGAGCAGAAATGGAGACAAAAGAAATGGAAGGAAAGAAAGGAAAGGGAGGGAGGGAGGAAATGAAGATGAAGATGAAGATGAAGGGAATGGAAAGGAAAGGAAAGGAAAGGAAAGGAAGGAAGGAAGGAAGGAAGGAAGGAAGGAAGGAAGGAAGGAAGGAAGGAAGGAAGGAAGGAAGGAAGGAAGGAAGGAAGGAAGGAAGAGGGAGAGAAGGAGAGGGAGAGAGAAGGAAAGGGAAGGGAAGGGAGAGGGAAAGAGAGAGGGAAGAAAGGAGAGGGAGAGAGAGGGGGAAAGGAAAGGGGAGAGGGAGGGGGAGAGGGAGGAGGAGAAGGAGGAGAGGGAGAGGGAGGAAAGGAGAGAAGAAATGAAAGGAAAGGAGAGAGAGAGAGAGAGAGAGAGAGAGAGGGAGGGAGAGAGAGAGAGAGAGAGATGGTTTGGTGACTCAAAGGCACAACAAAAGAGATCAGTAAAAGTTTACAACTTTGCATTATTCTGCCAAATACTGAGATTTTTTTTGCCATGCTATAGATTGTAAAAGAACTCCTCCTCCTCCTCCTCCTCCTCCATCAAAGGAAAGCCAGATGAATGGTATGGCTACCAAATCTAAGCTGCCCAGCTCAAAGGAGCACAAGATGGGAAGGAAAGGTTAGGAAGCTCTGTGTCTCTTAGCTGTTATCTATCTGAAATCGATAGTCCTAAAGTAAGGAGAGTCAATCTGCTGTAGGGGTGAAGGCGCCCAGGGGAGAAACCAGGAGTCCCACCTAAGGCACAAAGCCAGCTGGACGACCTTGGGCCAGTCTTTCTCTCACAGCCCTAGCAAGGAGACAATGTCAAACCCCTTCTGAAAAACCTTGCCTGCAAAACTTCAGGGACTCGTCCAGGCAGTCTCTGAGAATTGCACACGACTGAACAGAAGAGAGAGAGAGAAAAAAGTCGTGTCTGAAGCTGATCTTCTCAAAATATACTTCGATGGGTTTTATTACATTCTTTTCCATCCATTTCACTGGGGCTCTGCGTGGAACAAAGGGTGGGAAAATACCTCCCTGCAGCTCAACCCTGTTTACAAGCATTCCTCAGATAATTCTGCTTTCTGGGTAGCTATCTGAGAAAAAAGCCCACTGAATCCAGCAGACAAAGCCGAGGTTGTCTCAATTGCTAATACATTCACAATGAGGGAGAAGGTGGAAGAGAAACAGCACAATAGCCTTCATCGTCTCCTATGGAATTCACCCTTACAAGTCTTATCTTCAGGACCTTTTTGAATAGAATAGAATAGAATAGAATAGAATAGAATAGAATAGAATAGAATAGAATAGAATATAGAGTATAGAGTATAGAGAGAATAGAATAGAATAGAATAGAGTATAGAGTATAGAGTGTAGAGTGTAGAGTGTAGAGTGTAGAGTATAGAATACAGTATATAGAGTATAGAGTATAGAGTATAGTATAGAATAGAATAGAATAAAGTATAGACTATAGAGTATAGAATAAAATAGAATAGAATAGAGAGTAGAATATAGAGTATAGTATAGAATAGAATAGAATAGAATAGAATAGAATAGAATAGAATAGAATAGATATTGGAATATAGAATAGAATAGAATAGAATAAAGTATAGACTATAGAGTATAGAATAGAATAGAATAGAATAGAATATGGAATGAAAGAATAGAATAGAATAGAATAGAATAGAATAGAATAGAATAGAATAGAATAGAATAGAATAGAATAGAGTACAGAGTACAGAGTACAGAGTACAGAGTACAGAGTACAGAGTACAGAGAATAGAATAGAATAGAATAGAATAGAATAGAATAGAATAGAATAGAATAAACAGTTGGAAGGGACCTTGGAGGTCATCTAGTCCAACCCCCTGCTCAGGCAGGAAACCCTATACCATTTCAGACAAATGGTTGTCCAGTCTCTTCTTAAAAACTTCCAGTGTTGAAACATTCACAGCTTCCTTTTGTCCTTGTTGTCTTCCAAGTCTCACCCCTTTTTATTCCCATGAACAGAACTGGGGAGTTTGTCAATAGGAACACAGTTGGGTCCTGATTTGAAGGCACCACAAATGTTCTCTTTAAAATCTCTCTTGGGGCATGGGAACCATTTGGATGAGACAAATGAAATGCTTGAAGGAGCTCCAAGGCCATAATGTCAATTATATCAAATAATTGATATAATTATAAAGTCAACATCTAGTTGACTTTATCTTGACTGCGAAACTAAGCAGGGCCAGGCCAGGAAACGCCAGGATTGTAGGCTAAACCAAGAATTTGGAAGGGAAAAAAAAAAAACCAGAAGAAAGTTACCCCAAAAAGTCCTACATGGTCAGTGAACTCCAAAAGAATCTTCTGTGACTTAGACACTTGACTTAACTCAAGTCTGCTCGCTTGTGTCAAAGGTGCTATTTTTAATGTGAAACTTTCAGTTACATTTGGGAAAACCTCACTTCCTAGTGTGGAGATTTTTCAAACAAATCAACTCATTCTTTTCGTTCAGTTTTATCATATGGGAAAATAAAAATGCCGCACTCTATTTGTATTTACCAAGGTGTCGTTTTCTATTAACACTATTATATTTAAGCAATATCTTCCATACTCTGGGCTTCCAAAAATGATCTACAACCATTTTAGGGATCAGAAAAAAAGTAAACCAGGAAACACGCATTCTTTCCAATTAAGATATTTTAATAAGAAATAGAGATAGATGCCTATTAAAAAGTAATAGACCCTGGAGAATTTCTAAATATTTGTTTTGTTATGTCATATGCATTATTCAAGACCTCTTGGAACTTCCAGGAGTTCTCCTTTGCTTGACAGCTCAAGCAACAATTGAACAAGCTGATTTATTTATAACAAAAATCAAATAAAATACAATCCACACTGTTTTACTGTCAAATTTTGATCACAGCCCAGGACAGAACTGGCCAGCACAGTTTAAATTTTTGAAAGTATGTGAGAAAAAAAAAATCTTGCCAAGCCAATTATTTCTAGGGTTAAGCAGTTCTCTGTGGAGCAATGCTGCTTCAGAAACACTGAAGTGGACTGTTTTGTAAAGCAAACAAGCGTTGGCTTACCTGAACGCCTTTTCTCAACATGACAAGGAAGAATCCACCTATGGGTTATTTCAGTCCTACTGCCCAATCAGACCAAGTTGTCAAGTTGTCACGCCGCCTTCTTGTCTGGGACTTCCCAGTTTTCATGGACGGCGGAGCCAATGACAATAATATGACGTGATGACTCTCGAGCAGGTAATAAAATAAAATAAAAGACAAACAAAAAACACATTCAACCCGGACCTAACTGACCAATGGGAGGGCGTGGATTCTTCCTCGTCATGTTGAGAAAAGGCGTTCAGGTAAGCCAACGCTT